GACCGTTGCAAAGAATTTGTCAACAAGAAAAGCGAGGGAGGGGGTAAGACATGCGGAGCACACGTGCGGATCACGTGATTGTTCCTTACATCGGACATTGGCCTCCATATATCCCTATATACAGTACCAGGAATCTGCCTGGTACTTTAAATTAAAACGTTCCCCTTTTAAGAAGAGTAAGGAAGGCGATCTTACTTCCGTTTTTGCTACAGTAAAAATCTCTGTCATGGCAGAGTCTCTCGGCTCAGGCACTTGTTAAAGGCAGAGTTAAAACAGGGTCGATTAGCTTCAGGTTTCAAGAGCGCATCTCTCGAGTTCATGAATGCTCTGAAATTTAACCCAAGAAATAGGAGCCATGAAAACCATGCCGCATGAGAGCTCTAAAGACAGACTTTCAGGCTATTACATTACAGGGAATAAAGGAGGCTATTTAAAAATTCCCCCCCCCCCCCCCCCTTTGCCTCCTCGAAAAGACGCCCCTGGTGGATGTCTATAAACGTGCGCGCGCGGACACACACGCACACACACATCTAACTTTCAAGCAGTTTTTCTAAATTTCAAAACGAAATTTTCGCAAGAGCCGTTCTCCAAACCTAACATGTGGTGGCACAATCAATAATTTTACATCACTATTTGAAAGCATGAAAGATGAGACCAAATTTAAATTGTTTTATTGAATGATGACGGAGATGTCAGCCTTTAATGAGACCTACCGAAATCGCGACCTATGGCCCGACTTCATTGCTAAACTCGACCCATCCCAAGAGAATAAAGGCAGAAAATTTTATGTTTCGGGCATAAATACATTTGTGAGACTCATTGCTGTGAGCGTGTCAAAAAAATTTCGGCGATTTTGTACCAGCCAATGAAAGTCTGGTCATGTAGAGGTGTGTGTGTGTGTGGGGGGGTTGGACATCCTAATGAAAATGCTTCTCTTGAATGAACTTTCCGATGGTATCTGTGCACAGATCGAGAGCATAAATGTTTCCATGATTTTGAAGAACCATCTATATCGATCTATGAAAGAATATTTCAGGATTACTGCATTGAAGGCGAATTGGGAGGCATTCAGGCGAAAGTGTACTTTGGGGAGGGAGTCGCAGAGGACTGAAACGTGGGGTTTTCGGAGTGTTTGGGGAAGGCACTCATACGGCTTAGGGTTACATTTGTTATTTTTTATAACCGAGGCGCCTGCTGTTCCTCTTTAATGAGTAGAAGACCCTCTTAGCAAACAAGGCTACGTTGGAGCAACTTTACGAACGTTGATTCAAATGTTGATTTAACGTTGATTCAACGTTATCATTTGTCCTCTTGCTAGACAGAGTGGCTGGCCGTATTTTGCCCACCCCTGCTCTTGAGAATGCATGTATAGATTCTTGAGTCTACATCATTTCACCACGAGGCAGACTTGAACTGCCCGGGAGCCGCATGCGGCCGTGAGCCACGGTTTTAACCACTCCTGCGTGCAAGCGCAACACTGTGCTGCAATGAAAGCGATGATGGGCGCTGCCTGCAACACAGGTGGTGGTTGTTCATGTTCTCTCTTCGCTTCGGGCTTCTTGCAGTTGTAATTTGAACTTGTTTCTGACTCAGATTTGTAGGCCTTCTCAAATCATGTTTTCATGAGGAGAAGGCCTAGGTGGGAGAGCTGGTGATATATTTGGGTGTTTTTCAACTCTCTTTGGATCGAATGAGAAATGGGGTCTCGCAGGTGAGTTGTCATGAGGGGGTGTTACTATTGGTTCTTGTCCCTAGGATTAAGGCCTATTTTCTTGTTTAGAGATCTAGTCACATGCTGTCGTGACTTATCCGCTTTGTCGACGGTCACGTTGAAAGTTCTTGCTTCTGGATGGCTGATTCATTTCTCTTCTTTTTTTTTATCTCTCAACAGTAGCCCACGGTGGAACTTATAGTCTTAACTGTGAATCTACTGGGTTTTTGGGTTGAGTTTTAACCCCTCCTCCCCCCCTCCCCTTCCCATTGGGCATTGGAGAATGAATATATTGGATTCTTTCGCTGGAATATGTAAGGGTGAAGATTGGGCATTTTATTGAGTCAATCGGAAAGTTCTGGCCATTTCGAGAATTTTCCAGAAAAAAATTTCTGGAACTTTCTCGAACCTTCCACAGTAGCAGTATATAAAGGGTGTATGGGTGTGATTACACAGCAGTTGCTTAGTTGTTCAAAGCCTATAACCATGACTTCCAAAATCAACTTTAACAAGACCGCCCAACATCAGTGCCTTTTTTACGACTTCCTATCTGGCATCACAGCAGCTGAATCGAGTCCCCGCATCTGCACCATGTTTGGCCAAGGTGCAGTTTATGAAAGGACAGCACGACGATGGTTTGATTGTTTCTGGTCTGGAAATTACAGCCTTGAGGATGAGCCCAGGTCATCTGAAATCGATGACGAGCAGTTGCAGCACACAGTGGAAGCCGATCCGGGGCAAGTACCCATGATTTAGTGACAGCACTTGGCTGTGCCTAGTTCACAATCATGATGCACCTGGCTGCATTTGGCAAGAAGAGCAAATTGGGTCAGTGGGTACCGCACGATCTGACCGACTGCGACCGTGAACGCTGTGCTGAGGTGTGCACTTTGCTGCTGTCATATAAGCGCATGAACGACTGGCTGGATTCCGTAGTCACTGGAGACGAAAAGTGTACATCAACTACCAACACAGGCGCCAGTGGGTCAATGCCGATGCCCAGCCAGAGCTGGAGCTGAAAGGTGACCTGCACCCCAAAAAGTCATGTTGTGGATTTGATTGGACATGCAAGGCGTGATCTAATTCGAGCTGCTCCCAACCAATACCAGCATCACCGCTGCCTACTACTGCGATTGGCTGCAGAAGCTTGCTGACAAATTCTGCACGGTGAGGCCAGGGCACCGTCATATCTGATTCCTGCACGACAATGCAAGGCCACATGTCGCGAAGATCACATGGCAGAAACTGCTGGATCTGGGCTAGGAGGTTCTGCCTCACCCTCTGTATAGCTCAGATCTGGCGCCAACCGACTACCGTCTCTTCTGTGCTCTGGACAACCATCTTTGCCAGAAAAGGTTCAACAATGACACAGGTCAAAAACTGGCTGACTGATTTTTTTTACTCGCAGCCAGCTCAGTTCTACAGGGATGGAATCAGGAGTCTGCCTGATCATTGGCAGAAGGTGATTGGCAGAAGGACTATGATGGCAATTACTTTGTTGAATGAACTTTTTTGCTTTTTTTTAATAAAAAAAAATTCGGTTGTACGGAATGTTCTCAAAACAGCCAGAACTTTCTGATTGACCCAATATATGAATACAAGATGTCTCTAGAGTTGAAGTGCCAGTAGCACAAGCATGGGTTAGCTCAGGGGTGGGCAATTATTTTAGCTGGAGGGCCACTTCACAAGTTTTGGTGAGCTTCAAGGGTCGCACTCCAGTATCTGGGAGAATACCTCAATAGCATGATCATTGCTGTCTGCCCTATTCCCTCCTTTGCAAGATCCTTTGCAAGCAAGACCTCTTGGCAACATTGTCCTCAACTATATCTTCCTCAAAGTCATCATGTTTGACAAAGCATGACACGTTTCTGTAGATGTTGACATAGTCTCCTCTGTTTTGACATCAATAATGGTCAGATCCCCTTCATTTGTTGACACTGGCACCTCTGGTCTGGAATAAAGGCCAGATCCATGGATGCAGTTTGCATTGGTCTCTGCCTTAACAGTCTGCTACCAGTTAACCACAAAATACATGGTGAAGAGGAGCAAGAGAATGGGCAGAAAAACCCATCTGGGACCAATGGCATAACTTCATCTCAACCTTGCCCCGATAAAGCTGATTTATGTCCTGAACATACAGCAAAATTGAAATGCTCTTGCATAGAAATGGTTCTGTTCCTGACAAAATGTCCCTATAAAGTGGCTGCCCCCATTAACTGATGGCCAATAAAGTGGAGTCCACTGTATATGCATGGTGTTTAAAAAAAAATTGTGCCAAATCATTTTTGCTAATAATGTCAGTACTTTTCATCAGATTTTGATGCAATTTTTTAAACACTGCAGGTGAGTAGAATTTTCTGCAGTTTTCTGCTAGTGAAGTGGTTAAGGAGCTTCAGAACCTCCTTGGGGATGTATTCATTTTTCTTTTAGATCTGTTGAGTGTAATAGGAGTTATGACCCATTTACACTTGCTAGGGGAAGATTTTCTTGGTAATACTGGCAAATTAATTGAAACAAAATCACACAATAGCCTGGATACATACAGGGTATGATGTAAATGTCCTGTGGATCATACATTTTTATACATTTTATCATGTCTGGTCATTTGACCAGGTGCTTGCTAGTCCATGAAAAATAAAGACCATGAGTTTGCTAATGTTGACCCTATTGCTCCTTTGCATTTTCAGATGGTTTCATCCAAATATCACTGGAGTGGAGGCAGAGAACCTTCTCATGGAGAAGGGCTACGATGGTAGCTTTCTTGCAAGAAGGTCTCGCAGTAATCCAGGAGATTTCACTCTATCTGTCAGGTGACTTGGCCTTTCCTCTATCTTGTAACAAAATCTTTCTTTTAGCTGAATTACTTCAGCCAAAGGCCTATCTTCTGGCCCAGGCAACAGTAACGTCATCCTTCATGGAAATGTGAAACATTGTGAGTGGGAAAGGCCAAATAATTTCTAGCCATTAAGATGGGCTTAATTGTTGGATTTATTAACAGCCCCACTGGTATGAGGGCAAAGGATTTTCTAATGTCTTGAAAATGTCATTGTCAAAATCCACATCAGACAGTTCACTTATAATAGTGTAGTGTGGTTTCCTTAAAAACAAACTGCTTTAGTCCTACTGTCATAAGTATAAGTTTTGTAGAGTTTATGCACAGTTGTAAATTGAGTGTAGCACATGCAGTTACTGCTATTTGCTCAAATAAGAGGCTTCAGAATGGTCAACTCAGCATGTGTATATTTTAAGCCTAAAAATAAAAAAAAGAGTTACTCCTCAGCAGTAAGGTCTCCTAACAGGGAAACTATCTACTTTACCCATCTATGTCAATAGGGAAATTGCAGATGTGTATACTCTCCCTTGCTTGGTAAAAGTTGAGGCCCTGTAGAGTAAAGGACAATCTTATTAATCTCAATGTCAATTAAAAAATTATGAATTCTCTAAAAGGCCTCCATTTCCTTGGTTATAAAATGGTAAAATACTAGTATATGGCCTGTCATTAACCTTTATATGTCAAATGTTTCCATATTTGAACAGAGGAGGTAAGTGGAAAAATGCAAATTTTGGCATATTTGAACACAGCCTTAATGTGGAAAAATACCAATGTTACCATATTTGAACAGCATGGAATCTTCCTTTTATAGGCGTGGAAAGGAGGATTCCATGCCCTTCGAATATGGCAAAATTAGTGTTTTTTGACTAACATCCTTTGAATATGGAAATGCTCAGCATGTAAAGGTTAATGTCTTGTACAGGTAGATTGCAAGTCTCAGGTTCAGAAGCAATTTGTCATGATAAACTGAGTTTTTTCTTTTTTCTTCCTCTCAGAATGATTGCTCTAAAATATAAAGGGAAATTGGCAGGAGGGTGAGCAAATGCCTATGCCCTTACTAAATGCTCTGTAGTGGTGAAATACATTTTTCTTGTGGAAGAAGTAAAGCTTATAGCATGCAACCAATGTGCAAGAGGCTGGCAAAGAAGTAACTTACTTGAAGATGAAATAGCACTGGGTAGTTTAATGTTTCATAGATGAAGCATAGAAATGTTTTGGCCTGATGATGTGATATACAATAAGTCATGCTCAATCTCTTGAGCTTCTTTAATAAATCAGCCAATCAGAAGGCCTACTGCCTCAAGGAAACAAATCAAGCCATTACTAGAAAGCTTTTATCAGGTCTGAGAGAAAGAGAGCTAGAGCTAGGACTTTGGAATGAGGAGTAACTGCAAATGTGCCATGAGGTATTGCCATTTATGTTGTAATATGAGGAAACAAGACTCTGCAGACCGCTTTTCCATATGAAATCATTGTCTGTGATTTCTTATGTAGAAGAAGCACTGAAGTGACTCATATCAAGATCCAGAACCAGGGTGATTTCTTTGATCTGTATGGAGGCGAGAAATTTGCAACACTTGCAGAACTGGTCCAGTATTACATGGAGAATGAGAATCAATTAAAAGAGAAGAATGGTGAGGTGATCTCTTTGCGCTACCCATTGAACTGCGCAGACCCCACAACAGAGCGCTGGTTCCATGGTCACTTGAGTGGGAAGGAGGCTGAAAGGATCATGATGGACAAAGGAAAGAATGGGAGTTTTTTGGTCAGAGAATCTCAAAGCAAACCAGGAGATTATGTCCTCTCAGTCCGGACTGATGACAAGGTCTCCCATGTCATGGTCAGATGTCAGGTGGATTCCTCTCCATACTTTTTTTATTTTTAGTTTTTGGTCCATTGGGTTGATTAGCCAATGAAAATAAGTTTATTCTTCTGCAGAGTGGGAAGTATGATGTTGGTGGTGGACCACAATTTGACACGCTATCAGAGTTGGTGGAGCACTATCGAAAGAACCCCATGGTGGAGACTTCTGGTATTGTTGTGCATCTTAGGCAGCCATTCAATGCCACACGTATTAATGTTTCCACCATCGAGAGCAGAGTGAAGGAGCTTCAGGTATACTTATATCCCTTTATCCATTCATGTGAGCCTACCCTAGATCATGCTGTTCTTTGATCCCATCACATGAGATCTAAGCATATGACCTGCTAGGTAACATTTAAGAACTTCTGCTTAGTATACATGATCAACATACTAGTATATCCAACAGCATCCAGGAGTTAAGTGATCTTGATAAAATTTAGTACATAACTCTCACCATGTCATAAAATTGATAGCATTTCAAGGGTGTAGGATGAATATTTGGAGAATTTTGTCAAACCCTCAAATTTAAAGGGGGCTCCTATAATCACCCAAAACAATTGCTCAGGAGTTTATCAAGGAAATATGGGAAAGGAACTCATATTGATATGAGTGAGATTTGTGATAAGGTTCAAGGTCACAGGTTCAAACAGTTTTGAGAAAACTTGGGGAATGCCTAAGAAAAAAAGGATGGGAGTGCCTTCATGAATAATGCCCATATTTCTTCTCTTCTTCCATCAAGTTACTTTGCTTTTGTGCCATTGGAGGTTGAGTGCTCTATTGAGTGCATTCTTAAAATACATCTTTAGGGCAATTTCATGATCTTGTTTGGGGTCATTCTATATGACAAATCACCCCCAAAAATTGCAAATTAACGTCCTATTATCTCTGACTTTGATGAGATATGATATACATGGTTCTCCTGAACCTGGAAATTTATATTTCAGCTTCATTGGGTCAGTAGGTCAATTGTAACAGGATGGTCACCAGCTAGCCTCGAAGTTTGATATTTTAGCTCAAGAACTATTATGCTAGAGCCTTGATTAAGTTGCCAATTCACTGGAAATTACACAAGGAATTAAAAATTGGCATAGCAAAATCACTCAAATAAAAAGCACAATGTCAATTTATAATAATAATAAAAATTGACCTTATAACTCAGGATGAAGCCCCAAAATTATAAAAGTAAGAAAAGGTCATTGTAACTGCCACTGATATGCAAAGTACAAAGAAGTAAAATGTTAATATTCAGTGAACACATTTTTTAGATCAGCAGACCCCTACCAACTTTATATATCATAAGTTGATAGGCCAAGGAAATGCACCTGCTACTCCCTCATCAGTTTATCAATAAAGCTATCTCAGTAGCAATAGTAATGAACATTCTTTCTTTATGTTGTTGTTTACTTTATTGGCAAGAATCATCTGCACTTTCCTGTTTAAGAATGTTACATATCTAGCATAGAAAAGACTAATATTACTTCGGTTTGCAGTTAAAATTAGGGAGTTAATGACCATACCACCTCTCCATTAATGACAAAACATTCAAAGTGCATCATAATTGCATTGGTTGTGCTATGATTGATATATCAATAGAAATTTGATCAGTAGCAATGATTCTAAGTTATAGCAGTCATGTTGCATAGTTACTGTTAAGAGTATTTAAAATTTCAGTTGTAATCCCAGGTAGTGTGTGTGTGTGTGTTTTTAAAGAACAGGTATATCTGAACTCTACTGCATACAAATTTAAATACCATGGCTCAATTCCTTTCTTTTTCTTTTTTCAAGGAAATTCAGGCTTATAAATAAGCATTTTCTAGACAACTAAAATCTGTATAATGAACATGCCTATGTAGAAATGTCTCTGTGGCTGTGGACTGCATCAGATTTATTGCTGGCATTAGGGTATACTTTAGGAATTCTTTTCTCTTTTCAAAGAAAGTGTTGGTTTAGGGACTAGGGTTGACCCTTTTATAACTGAGGTTTCTTGCTTCCATTTAAAGAAAAAAAGCCATAAGTTATAAACATGTGCTTCTGCTTTTATTTGTCACAGTGGATAGGTAACATTTGGCATTCTGTCATGCTTACATTTCTTCTCTGAGATGCCGATGGGTGACACTTATTTCTGTTGAAACAGAAAGACAATGGCTTTCTCAGTGGGAAAGCAGGCTTTTGGGAAGAGTTTGAGAGTTTACAAGAGCAGGAATGCAAGCACTTATATTCCCGAAAGGAAGGACAACGACCTGAGAACCGCAACAAGAATCGCTACAAGAACATCCTACCTTGTGAGACCTTCTCTGTATTCCAAGTCTAATATTTCTGCCTTATGGCTCAAGAACATTCTCAGCATTTGTGTTGTATCATATGTGCTTTGCATGGATGTTTCCTGCACATGCAAGTATGAAAACACTATATTCTTCTTTCCATGGTTAGGGAGGAGTTGAGCAAAAATCTTATTTGCCTAGCCTTCAAGAATGTTTAATTGTCAGAAATTGTTATAAAAAGAAAGTGCAGTCAGAGAATCTGCTAGTTCCACTGATGAAGCTTTGACTATTAAGCAGCATGGGATTTATGTAAAATACCATAATTTTGTCATGAGATTGCTTCAAAAAATGCTTAGGCCCTTATAGAAATTACTTGGTACCAGTTTTGGTTTTCTTGAGAAGGACTTCAAAGGTCAAGAAAGATAAATGCATCTCTTTGAGTGATTAGTGAACTACTGATGACAGGAGTGAAATTCTCTTCCTTGTCTTCAGTTGATCACACACGAGTGAAACTGAAGGATGCTGATTCAAATGTCCCTGGATCTGACTATATCAATGCAAACTATATATCATTGGTAAGTCCTTGATATATATGGCCCTGTTTCAAGTCCTGCCTGTTTGACTGATGATTCCTTTTGAACAGGGAGAGGATGAGAGTGGTCATTCCTTTGAGTCATACATTGCAACACAAGGATGTCTTCCAGGTACAATCAAAGACTTCTATGATATGATATGGCAGGAGTGCTCACATGTCATTGTCATGACCACAAAGGAAGTAGAAAGAGGGAAAGTAAGTTGTTCTTGCCCTTTGTGTGTTGCATTTATTTTTGGCAAGTCTTCCAAAATTTACTTTGTTTTTGTATAGAATAAATGTGCCAAGTATTGGCCAGATGAAGGGAAAGAAGAGACATATGGGAGAGTACGTGTGAAAAACATGTCAGAAGCTCAGATGAGTGATTATACATTGCGAGAGTTCCTCATCATGAAGGAAGGAAGCCAGGAAGAGAGAAAGGTTTATCATTTCCATTTTCAGGTGGGAGCAGAATTTTTTGTTATTTCATAATTATTGAAAGGATTGGGATTTTTGAGATGAATGTTTGGATCAATAGGCATGGCCAGACCATGGAGTTCCATCAGATCCAGGTTGTGTGCTGAGTTTCCTTCATGATGTAAGCCAGAGGCAGCAGGCTCTTTGTGATGATGGCTTCAAAACTGGGCCCCTCATAGTGCACTGCAGTGCAGGAATAGGACGGACAGGAACTTTCATTGTCATTCACAGCATTCTCCGGCAAATTGCTCGAAATGGTGAGTTTCTTCATTTCTTTCCTAATAGGGAATACCCAAGAAGTAACCAGCATCCTTGAGAATTATTGGTTGAATGTCTGCAATATCATATGATCCAGGATTAGACTGTGAGATCGACATTCAGCGGACAGTACTGCAGGTTCGATCTCAGAGGAGTGGGATGGTCCAGACAGTGGCTCAATATCAATTTGTCTACATGGCAGTCCAGCACTATATTGCAACAGTGGCTCAGCGCATGCATGCTGAACAGGTCAGACCCAGCCTCTTTTCCCCTAACAAGAAGACAAAAAGAAGAAAAGAAAGGAAAAGCGGATATGGACTTTGTATATATCCATTTTGTAGAAGAGCTTGCAGTTGGGACGAGAGTACACAAACATCAAATACTCCAGTGAAGGACTTGGTGGAGGAGGAGGTGGTGGTGGTGGTGGAGATCATGTGACACGAGGTGGATTATCTCGTTCTATGGTATCCCTTACAAGTCCAAATCTTCCCAATCCCATTCCCTCCCACCTTCCTCCTACACCTGTTCCTATACCTATTTCCACCCCTGTCCCTGTACGTTGTATATCTGACCTCCATCTCACTAGGTAATGGCCCCTCATCCAAATATCATGAGACAATCAGCATTCAAGTATGGCGTCTTGCATCATTGTGGTAAATTTCCATTGCAGGGGGTCAGAAGAAGATGGTGCATTGGGTCCAAGAGCAGTGTATGCCAATGTTCCCAAACTTCCTGACTGCAACATTGGTCCACCTCCCAATTTCATTCCTCCCCCTCCTCCACCGCCAAGGAGACCATGACCATTCCACGCACTCCATGCAGGTCCCGGTACTTTCATTTCTTCCGTAATGGAAAGAAGCCATAAATAGACATTGGATGTGTGCAATGCAGCATTGACCTTCCTTCTTTTTTATTTATTTACTTCTTGAGTGCATCAGTCATCATGTAAAGAGGCCAAATTTCATTATGTGTGTATTAAATGATTGATTCATGAAACTAGTCAGACCAGCATGCTGCTTATTCATGGAGTTTCTCATCCAATTCATTGTATTTTAAAGTATCTGACAAATAGGTGTAGCCTTTGACTTTAGAATCATATGAATGGAACATGGTCTTTCCTGCTTTCTTTTGGAATCTCACAACAGATGATGGAATTTATGAATATCCCCATGCTTTTGGTGAAAATTAAAGTGGTTGTGTATTTTGACTACTGTTATCTTGCCACATTCTTCCTTTGCATTCTTCATTCTATTTCTACACAGTAGAACAAAAGCAGTGGATGTTACAATAGGCATCCTCGAGTGCATCTTGTGGCTCTCGTTGCTGCCGTTTATTTTGGCTGATAAAAGGTTTTCCAGGTTTTGTATTCTGTGAAAACCCTTCATTCAACATATCTGCTTGTGGAGTGTTCTATTAGCTTTTGTAGGAATATTGTTCCAGCAATTGTTAACTTTTTGCTGGAAATGTACAAGTTCCTGTAATTTGCCATCCAAACATTCAGATAATGATAAATCTCCAAAGAATTGGGTCAATTAAATCTAAATCTCCCCTAAAAGCTTAGATATTTAACAGATAAGTTGCTCAAGGATTTATATGCTCTGCGGGCAAATGAGTAGTTACTACATGGTGGGCCTTCAGTTATCTTTAAAGCTTGAAATAGTAGTTTCTCAAGAGTTTGATAATATTGCAATAGTGTCTCAATATAGAACATTTATTTAGCTTTCCACTGATGTCAACAGATTTAAGACCCATTCTGTCATTCTGATGTAGTTATGCACAGAGCAACGGAGGAAGTGCTTGAAAAGTGCACTTAACAGTACCTTGCTAGATATGCTCATGGTGCCATTCATTCCTTTGCTTGCACAATTGCAATCTTGCCAAGGCATTGATCACATATCCAGCGCCACCTCTTATACTCTTTATTTAACTCCATGGAAGTTATGTCACGAATCTTTATTCTGTTGACATCATTGGAAAGCTGAATGAATGTTCTATACAGAGGTGCTATTGCAATTTTAGCAAACTCTTGGGGACCAGTGCTGTGGAGTGATGAAGATAACTGGAGTTTTTTTTGTCCACCCTGTACTTACCTCTCTGTTGCCTCCAGACAAAATTTACATTAACCCCTTAACTGGGGAAGACATCTTTAGACATTCGGAAATACTGCATACAAGTTGGATGGACATCTTTAGACGTTTCCGCAAGTAGGTTCCATGTTTCCGGGAATCCTTCGCTGGGGTGGGTTAAGTGTGTCCTGTGGCCTTCTGACAGGATGTGGCTACTCATCTTCAGCCTTTCCATGTAGCTGTCAAATATCAGGATGTATTTTCTACCTGATTAGTCAGCTGTTAACTGCAATATCATCACATGGGTGGAGTACTTGAACACGAGCATCATAGAGACAGCATCTATCTTCACTATTATATTTCAGAATCTGTGTTTGTCTGTCTGTTCTTTATGCACGGCCATGTCCAACCAAACTTTGCATGACTTCTTCATTTGGTCTGGGGATGGTCATAGGCTAGGTGGCGTTTCAAAATTCGGACCCCCTGGGGTACTAGACAGGCAAGTCTAATAAATTTGCTTTTGAGTGTCAAAAGTGAAGATTCAATTGAAGAATGTGAAGAAACATCAAATGATGTAAGCAGAGACAATGGAAATGAGGGCGTAGAGATTCACAGAGGTGGTGATTGTGATGTACTTACCTGGACTGGGTCCACATGGCTGAGGAATGCCTGCCCTTTAAATCGTTGGTTCAGAATGGTTTCCTGATAAATTTTGGTTACATAAAAAGACCCTATTGATGTCTTTGAGGCTTTCCTCATTGATGGGGTTGCAGTTGATATAGAAGAGCAAACCTATCTCTATAACAAACAGTGCATAAGAGGATATGCTACTTCTGGTGGACAGCGACTTCGCAGATAAGACAAGGACTAGGTGGGCACTAATGGATAGAAGAGAAAACCTATGATTAGTGTACTAATTTTCCATGGAATTGTGCAGAAGTCTATGAATGGTATGCACTTCTGCAAGAAGAGAATCATGGAAATGTAATTTTTTGAAGAAGTCTGGTCAAAAAAGCAATTTCAAGGCAAAGGTGAAAGCCTTCTCTCTCTTTAGTTCTTCAATAACAATAATTTTGATCCAGAAACTGATCCCAATCCAAGGCTGTTCAAGATTTTCCCTATCCTGGATTAAGTTGTAAAGCTGTTCCAGGATATACAGTATATCTCGTAAACTGTTGAATTGTCCTGATGAATCCCTACTCCTGTGGAAAAACTAAAACTGGTAGGAAAGTTTACATCCCCAAGGAGAGGGTCTGCTTTGGTATGGAGTCATACCAGATCAGCAAATCCACCAATAGGTTTTAGTCGAATGTCCTATATATCCGGGCAAGAGCAGCCTAGCCGATAAGCACATGATGCCTCAGACACCCATCCACACTCTCAGTAAATAGGGTTCCATAATTGCTACCTGTTGCAGAATTATTGAAAAAGTAGAGTTTGCTTGTCAACGGTGAAAAAACTTCCCATTTCATTGCAAAAAACTACCCAGTTATGGGGTTAAGGCTGCAACTAGCAGATCTTCAAATGAAGCAGAAGCAGTAAATATCTGTTATATTGACTCATTTCTTCCTGGTTAGGGCTCATTTCTGCATGGAGTACAAGCTTGATGTTAAAGCATATTATTAGGATAAGTAGTATTGTTTGGGCTTCATTTAATAAAAGTATTTGTATCAAAAGATACTCTCACATCTAAAAATAAGTTTTTATCTTTTTCTTATCTCTGTTGTGTTTTAAAGCATAAGCCACAATTTTACAATTGCTCTGATGTAAATTGAAGTAATACATATATAGTTTCAGTTGTAACCTAAGGAGTTTGCCCAAAATACAGATACCACTTTGACACATGTTGACCTGTTACTGCTATGTTGATTTCCCTAACACCAGCTGAAGAAACTCACCAATTCTGGTTCTTCCACAGCTTGATCTTAAAACCCAAAGGGAATCAAACTATTCTCAAACACACACATTAAAAAAGTTGCATTCTCAATGTGTTGTTTGCAAAAAAAAAGGAGCAACTCCATGTTGTTCTTGCAGAAGCTAGAACATTGCCATACTTATTTAAAAGTTTTTGCTCTGTGTGGGAATACAGATGCCCAGCATCTGTGTACATTGGACCAACATAAGCAAATTTTTTTACATATGGGATAGTGAAGCAGCTTGAGTCTCTTCTGCCTGAAGTTTATTTTAAAATATAACTGAACCATTTCCTGATTGCAGTAGTATGAAGCAGTAAAGTATGAACATTTTTGCTGTGCCACGTACCTTTTTGGTTGTCTCATGAAAACTTATTTACTTAAGCCATGTTATACTAATGATAATTTGATGTGTTGTACTTTGCCCTTGAAGTCTGCTATATGTGATCTGTCTGCTCACTAGCACTTGACGATCCTTTTTGTACACAGGTTTATTCAAAGTGCTTGCCACTATATTTTTAACCCTTCAGGCAGTTTTCGTGTATACCGTATGATCATCCCTTAGGTCAGATCGAAACTCAACTCTTGAAGCATTAATTGAGTGAGAAGAGCTATTGAATATGCAAGAACTGCCCTCATGACACTTTCTTAAAATTTAGGACTTAAAAGATTACTGTTTCCCATCATTGACTAAGCAGTTTTATGCAAATGGAGAAAACTTAACCATTTTGATTCTTGTTTGTATAAGTATCAGAAGTACACCAGTTACAGATTCCTGGGGTTATCAGTTTCCATTCTCAAAGGTTGACCCAATGTGATTCCTTTCATGATGACAGGAATTCAAGTTCCATACAATATATTTTGAGTGTCAACAATGAAGTCATGAATTTGTGCAATTGATGTGCAACTTCTGAGACACCTTATTGATATGGTCAAACCATTTTATTGTGATAGGAAGAATAATAATGATGCTGTTGCAAAGTATGAAATTGAAAATGTGAGGCTTAACCATTTTGCAGGTATGCACTGTAACATAAGTTTTGCCTTAGGTGGGCCTACCAGATTACACACTGTTGAGGTTTTAAGCATATTGTACCTTGATCTCTTGTAAATTGATTCTGATATATTTTCTAGAATAATTCCACCAAATAATGTGGGAAAATTGCACATGAATGCAAGCTGTCAAAAAGCTCAATCTGGACAAGTGCATTGGTTCAGAAAAACTCACCCGTGAAAGGCTTAACCTTTAGAGTGGTAGTGCCGTATCCATACGTCCTGCATCTTTGAATTCAAATTGCCACATTTGTACGGATGCCATCAGTTTGAGATTAAATTTGGAGGTTCCTGAATACGTCTTGCTTCGCTCAGTACTGCCATCTTCAAGCTAGTACAGAAAGTAACAGAAAAAATTAAAGACTAACTTTGGGGTGGTTGTGAAAGAAGGTTTTCAGTGTGACTCTCTCACTGACTGATGCCCATTCCATTTTGAAATTAAGCAGATGGAGGTGCACTCTCGATTTTCAATGACAAATCTGGAAAGCCCTGGAACTGGCTATAAACTGATGACAAAACATCTCATGTGTAAGGTGTCAGTGGACAAGAAGCAGTTTGTGCCAAGAGGCATTACATTACAAACTCCCTCACAGGAAATGAGAAGGTAAAGGGGCTTAAATCAATTACTTCTGTATTTCACCTCTTTTATATTTAATCAATTCTGTCTCAGAACTTTTCTCTTATTTCGTGTTATTTCTTAATGGGGGTCAGGGAGGGGCAGTTTCTTCTGCATAGACATTCCAATGGTTACAGCAATTTTCTACTGTAATAGTTGCACTCTGAGAAAGTGCCATGTTTGCAAGCATTCTGCACAAAACCTGCCAGAGAAAAGACACCAGATATATGTGCTTGGAATGTGGTGTAGCTCTCTGTATTGACCCTTGCTTCAGGGAATACCACACCTTGAAGCACTACTGATTACTCAAGATTACTAATGTTGAATTAAAGTTAATAAGTAAGGTCAGAGCTGGAACCTGTCCAAAAGAAAAACTCACTCCTGGGGGCACGCAGAGTCTAAAGAAATCTCACCTCTCGAAGGGTTTGAAGAGTGTGGCATTGTGAACAGAGTTCAGTAGAATGTTTTAGGCTTACCTAAGCAGTTAAATGAGGTTGGACACAATATGTAGTAAGAATCTACTGGATTATAATGGAAGGGCCTGGTAGACAAGCTATCAGTAAACCATAGCTCAGTATTGCTGACAATATTCCTATTTGCCTTAGGCCAACGATATTAACCCCTCAGGCCATTTTCATGTACTCTGTATGTCTTTCACACAGCCATGTATAAACTGTCATAACTTTGCCATGTGTTGTTTGATTTTGGTCTATGTGCAGAGCATGTTCAAGAATGTGCAGCAACATGATTAAAAACAGAATGGCTGTTGTGATTGTGAAACTGAGGAAAAGTTGTAATTTAATTGCTCACTTGTCTTGCCAGGGTGTTTAACTGTGCACTTGAGGGGTTTAGACATGAGTGACTCCAACTTAAACAATCTCTGCACTATGGGTTAACCTATAAATTATATACTACTGCATAACTTAAATATTTATTCAATTCTAATGTCTAAGCAGCAACACTTATGAAAACATTATGAGCCAATATCCTCTTGGGAAGCCACAAATACAAGATTCCTAGGTTGACATCTGCAGCCAGGAAGGACAAGTTTCTGTGGTGGGGTTTCCTCACTTCCTTCACTAAACTAAGATGTATGGTACATAGTAATTGAGTAAGTAAATTTTTAGGAGGATATTCAAGTTGTTCTGCCATTCTCTGAGTTCCATGAATTTTCTATGCATAGATATCCTTCTTCAATAGATACCTCCCCCAATATGAGTGGGTGGTTTGTGGTCTTTTGAGAGTCTGCTTGTCATGGGAGTCCCCATCTTGATTTGCCCTCAAAGAGGATGTTGCATTCTTTGTGTGCAGCCCCTGACTTATGTTGTGATATTTCAATCTCAAAGTTTGGCATTTGTAGCGAAGAACAAGTGAAGACTATCAGCAACAATGAATTTCCTTCAGGTGAGGTCTTGGAGATGAACTAACAAGCTGACAAGCAATTTGTATATGAACTTCAATTGTCCTCCATATAGAAATCTTTTTCTTGCAGTGGAGACGTTTTCAATTTTTTGATGCTGTGCACAATGTTGAAGTAGATGGCCTGGCTGAAGCTATACAGGTATTGTGTTGTCTCTGTCTTGTCTCTCTTCTAACTTTTCTTTATTGAAGGTTCTTGTTATCCATACCCAGACCTTTAGAATCACGTCAGTGACATCCGGAGATGGTCATGTGGTTCTGGGAGACTCTGGAGGAAACATCCACATTCTGGACCGCTCCTTGTCCTTGGTGTCATTCAAAGCCTACAATGTGGAGGTCTCTCATGTCTTTCAAGCCCTTGATGCTCCCATTCTTGTCACAGTTGGTGTGAGTAACAGTGGATACATGCCAGTTTAACTAGGAGAGAAAGAGGCCAATAATATGCATAATTTGGTACAGGAAGATGAGAGGGGGATTAATCCAAGCCTTAAGGTGTGGCACTTAAACACATTGAGAGCAGGCAGTAGTGCTCCCCATTGTTCCCGCATCACAAGAGTCCTTCCAGCTCCAGGAAAGCCTAGTCGAGTGACTGCCTTGGCTGTCCATTCTTCTCTGAACCACGTGGCTGTTGGATTTGAAGATGGCTCTGTTCTACTCTTATATGGTAACTTAATTACTTTCAACAGTTCCATGAAGATCCTCATCATATTGAGCAACATAATCCTGTTGTTTATATCATATTCAGGGAATGTAACAAAGGAGAAAGGAACAAAATTAAAGGTGGTTCATACTGGGAAAAGTCCTGTGACAGGGCTGCATTTTCAAAAGCCTTCCAGAGCAGATGTCCTCTATCTTGTCACCCCCACAGATGTCTGGTCACTTCAAATCACCAATAAAGAGAAGCCTCTTAAAGTGAGGTCAATTGCAAAGACATGCTAATATTTGGAGCATTCTTGGCTCTCTAGCTTTGGATTCTTGGATTACAGGTACAGCTGGAGAGTGAAGGTGGAAAAGCTGGATTGAATTGTATCACAGATGCAAGACATAACCACCACCTTCTCATTGGTCGACATAATGTCTGTTTGCTCTATTCTCCTTCATCATATTCAATTGAATTTTTTTTCTCTTCCATATTTACAATTGGCATGATTTCCATCACACATTGCAGGCAGTCTATTGCTACACACCTGAAAGCCGAGGACCTTGTTATGTATTTGAGGAGACAAACAAGACTCTGATGCATTGGTTCCAAGATTATCTGATTATAGTCTCTTCCCTGAATGATGCTACCTCAAAGTCGGTCATATTTCCTTGTTTTTATTATTCCCTTGTTTCTCACTTGGTATCATAGGTTTAATCAATGTTTTACAGTGCTAGAGATGGAGAGAGGAAGTTCATGGTGACCTTCTATGACTTGGGAAACAAACTGATAGCAGGAAGCTTTCCTGTAAAAGATGTGGTTGGTGTTACAGATCAATCAGGAGCTGTAGTTGTTGTCCGCAAAGGTGGGAAGATCACCAAGTTCCTCGAGAAGGAACTCATCTCCCGTATTCAACTCCTCTTCCAGAAGAATCTCTACGACATTGCTGCAAAGTACCTATTGACCCATCCATCTGATCCATGCACATATCTTTTCGTGCACCATTCCAAAAGCACTTTGGCAAGGATCTTATCTCTGGAATGATGTTTTATCAGTATTGCCTATACTGTGAGTAGGAAATCAAGCTTGTTTCCAGATGTACATACATAAGATGATGTAGCAGGGGAAGCTTGTGGATACCCACCATGTCAATCCAATAGGGCAAGGTTTTCTACCTCAGACTATTATAAAACTTGGGGAGGAATTTTTGGAGCCTGGGACTTCCAGGTTCAACCTTTTTTCTTTATAGCTGTACATAAGTGGTCTCAAACTGACTACTTTCTTGTTTTTTTTTCATGGAATTTACTATTGACAAGTTTAACTCTGAGAGTAGTGAGTGATGTGAATGCTGTTAGAAGTGGTGGAGCATGAGGTACATTTGTAGAACTATAGGCTTATTTACACTGGGTGGCAAAAAAAGAAACCAAGCTGTTGACTTCATAGTGCTGCTAATCAGGCTTCAGTGCCTTGACTTTGAGCTTTGGCACAAACGTAAGGCAGGTATTGTTCAGCAGATTCTAACTTTATTTCATAATTTTGCAAGCTTTCTATAATGCTACAATCAAAATGACCCACTTCACAAAAAACTGCCGCAGCAGCCACAAGCCCCTTTTAAGTTGTAGCAACAACAGTTGTTAATAGCACATTATATTTTGAGGATTAATGTTGCATAATGTTTATTTTTCCCACATAAGCCATCATTTCATCAAGTTGTAGTCACAGATCATTAGTTTTTGGTTCTGTTAGTCTGTACACTATGAAGTGATATTGAGAGAGAAAAATATATTTCAAGGGAAAATCTGGGGATTGATTATGATCAGATTATTTCCAAAATGTTCCTAAATTTGCAGTTAGCACTTAAAATTTTCTAATACCAGGTAGCACAAAAAAAATGTTCAGAACTTTACACACCTGCAGACAGAATACCATATGAGCTATTGACAGAAAATTAGCAGGGTTTCACATCCAATGTGTGCTGGTAATGTCATAAAAATTTCAATGAAATTGGTTGTTAAATTTCAGAGTAACAATTTTTCTCCCACACAATATCAAAAGGGAGAGCATGTAACGATGTGCGACTGACCTCAATGAAGAGATGTTTGATTGGGTCCTCCATCCTGGTCCACAACTACTTGCAGATGCTGTTTCCATTGGTTGATTGACTTTCTTATTGTGTTGTCATAGACAGGACGACACAACCCCTCAATTCAAGCCTTCAGTTCAGCAAGTAATGTAAAAGGGGGTGTTGCATTCAGCATAAACTGGCTCCTTCAATTGTTGCATGTGCTGTAGTTGAGGGGGTTTTTTAGTCTGGAGAATAGGAAGGCCACTGATTTTCTCAAATGAAGGCAGGAGTGTTATTCTTTTAGTACCCATGTACACATTTGGTACAATGTGAAGGAGCACTATCGTGCATGAAAATGTTGTCATGATTTGGGTCCAACTGTCTGCATTGTCTCCAAGAACTCCAGATAGTTCTCTTGATTTACCTTCAATTGCTGTGAATCCATGAGAAAAAATTCCATCATGTTCATCCTGGATAGTGCTCCTTCACATCATGCCAAAAAATGTGTACATGAGTACTTGAAGAATGACACTTTTGACTTCATTTGAGAAAATCAGTGGCCTTCCTATTCTCCAGACTAAAAAACCCCCTCAACTACAGTACATGCAACAATTGAAGGAGCCAGTTTATGCTGAATGCAACACCCCCTTTTACATTACTTGCTGAACTGAAGGCTTGAATTGAGGGGTTGTGTCGTCCTNGTTGTGTCGTCCTGTCTATGACAACACAATAAGAAAGTCAATCAACCAATGGAAACAGCATCTGCAAGTAGTTGTGGACCAGGATGGAGGACCCAATCAAACATCTCTTCATTGAGGTCAGTCGCACATCGTTACATGCTCTCCCTTTTGATATTGTGTGGGAGATTTTAACAATGAGACTTTAAATTGTTGGTTAAAGTAACTTTAAAAATACTGTAATGGTCGTGTGTAACCTACACTTTGGGACGATTAAAAGACAGTTATCGAGTATACCATAAGACAGACGTCCACAAAAGTTCTGAACTTTTTTTTTGGACCACCCCATTAATGGGATAGGTAGCCCTATTCGTGTCAATTGAGAGATGTTATTCTTGCAGATCCAATCCAATGGTCTGTGGATTGGATACTGATTAGGTCTGGTCCCAGACCACATTTTATGTTTGTCTACTGAGGGATATTTTCTACAGGGTAGCTGTAAATGGACAATGTGATGAAGAAGGCCTGGCAGACATATTTCGCCAATATGGGGACCATCTTCATTTAAAGGGAGATTTCTCAGGTGCCATCCAGCAGTATCTTCATACAATTGGATATGTTGAACCTGCTTATGTCATCCGCAAGGTATGAAAGCATCACTATTTCCATTTTCCACCTTCTTAAGAGATATGCCTATGGTAAAAGGGATGGTTTTCGCGCACTATCCTTGTATTTTGAACTTCTGCATCCCATGACGATTTTATCCTCCGTCGGAGACTTGAGCAAAAGACCTCATTTTGTAGGGTGCCAAATTGGCTATCAACTCATTGTAAATTTAATGTCGCTACAATAACATTCAGAAAAGGAGACAAGCGAAATTTAGGTTAGGTAGCGAAGGGCTGATTTTGCGGTTGCCTCGGTGATAATCGCGCGAGACAAATGCCATTTTCGCGCATTAGGGTAACTTGGGGGAGTATGGCCATTGGGGTAATATGGTCCTTCACAAGGAATCCCCTTATAGACTGGATAATTAGTTTGGGCGAATTTAAAAAATAGTTCTATCGAAGAGTACATGCAATTGTCGAAATG